GAACAGCATTCCTCTAAAGACGTCCTTGGTTTCACCTCTGCTGCAGTTCTGATATCTATTAAGGCTTGACTTTTCCAGAGGGTCTTTAGCAATTGATGGGTTCTGATCAATTTGGAATTGATTGTGAGTTTATTGAAAGATATTGTTGTTTTCTTAATTTGACTATGTGAACTTAACATATTTTAATGCTGTTATACTTGAATGAGGGATGGAGAGAGTGAGAGATTCATTCATTCTTGCCAAAAGACTTTTTTCACTTTATAACTGCAAACCATCAGGAAGGCAGATCCAACCTATGTGAATGAAATATGTCTCCCAGATGAACTTCTACATGCATACAAATTCCATTTGAAATGTGAAGCTGATAGTCCAGTCTAGTACTTGCCTTGTGTTTGTGAAACCATTTTTTAGAACTTCGTTTGTTAGTTTCAAAGTGGCAATTATATCATACCATATATTACAAGATTGGAGACCATTGATTTATGTTCCATTCTTCTGGATTGGAAAGATGTAGCCTTCTATAAATCATGCACACAAAATGATGTTGATCTCAATATAATCTTGCTGAGTTCAACATCAGTCAATGATGCCCTCTAATGAAAATTGATATAAATGCATACATTACATTACATTACATTACATTACATTACAATACATACATACATACATACATACATACATACATACATACATACATAATATTATACAACATACAAACTATGGTAAGCACCTTCCCAAATCAGTGGGTTTAGCAGTCATGCCTTGCTATATAGAAACAATTATCTAATACCTTTAAAATCATACAAATACAGACTTTCAACTGATAAAAATTGTTTTGACCAGTGGTTAGAATCCAGTATTGCAGGCTAACTCTGCTCACTGCCAGGAGTTCAATTCCTTCAATCCTGACTGGCTTAAGGCTGACTCTGCCTTCTGTCCTTCCAAGGTCAGTAAAATGAGAACCCAGATTGTTGGGGGCAATATGCTGACTCTGTAAACTGCTTAGAGAGGGCTGTAAAGCACTGTGAAGTGGTAAATAAGAGTAAGTGCTATTGCTATTCCTCCTCCTTCTTCTGTACAAAGTGAAATTGATTAAAGTAAAAGTTCCAAAGCTCTTTTCAAACTGAAAGAGTCATTTCTAATTGCAACTCCCCAATATCAATGGCTCTGATTTCTTAATTTTAATTAATCCATATTTTAAAGCAGACCAATTTATATGGAACCATAACATTAAAAGTGTTGCTTTAATGGACAACAGATGCCAAAATCATGGATAGTCTATAAAGCACCAATTTTCAAAACATGCATAGCTGTATGTCCACTGAATAAACTTGATGGCAGTTGACAGGGAGGGAAATTTGTAAGTCAGCCTGATGATATTAAGAAGAGGGGGAAAAGCAATCGAGACATTTTATCAGTTTTAACCATTTAAAACAATCTTATGACAAATTCATATTAATTATTGAATGCTTGGGTTTTGAGTATCATTGTTATGACTACATGGTTAGAATTTTGTTCCATTACTAAATAGAATATAAAATTGTCCCAACTTTATTTTAGTTTTTTTTCTTTTGGCCCAACTTTATTTTTGTAATAAATAATTCAAGATAGCAAACATATATAATACTTTTTCCTCCTCCTGTTTTAATTGAAAGGGCAGAAAAACAGATGTTCCCGTGTCTTCCAGAAAGCTACAAAGCATTTCAGCAGGTGGTGCTCTTTTTATCACTGGAGGTTCAAAGGGAAACACACTTTGCTTTCTCATTTCTAGAGCTCCAGAAAGTAGAGTTGAGATCAAGGGGTGATTTTTCAGCAAGATTTCCTAACTCAAATCTCATTTATCTGCATTGGAATTGTTCCAGCAAATTCATGCAGCACATGCACGCCTTTTGAGAAGGAATCATCACTCAATTGTTTTCATGGTACACATCTATTCAATGAACACTATTTTAAACATTCTGACAAAAATAATAGAATAGCAGAATTGGAAGGGATCTTGAAGGTCTTCTAGTCCAATTGCCTATACAAGCAGAAAACCTTATACCATTTCAGACAAATAATTGCCCAATTTCTTCTTAAAAATCTCCAGTGCTGAAGCACCCACAACTTCTGGAGGCAAACTGTTCCAACTGTTAATTGTTCTAACTGTCAGGAAATTTCTCCTTAGTTCTAGGTTGGTTCTCTTCATCCATTGCTTCTTTTCCTGCCTTCAGGTGCTTTGGAGAGTAGTTTGACTCCCTCTTCTTTGTGGCAGCCCCTGAGATATCGGAACACTGCTATCATGTCACCCCTACTCCCTATTTTTATTAGACACGTCCATTTCCTGCAAACATTCATCATAAGGTTTAGCCTCCAGTCCCATAATGATCTTTGTTGCTCTTCTCTGCACTCTGTCTAAAGTCTCAACACTTTTTTTATACCATGGTGACTAAATTTGGATACTGTATTCCAAGTATGGTCTTATCAGTATATTGATACTAACTCTTCATGTAATATTGTTGATATCCCTATTTTAATAGAGCCTATGAATGTGTTAACTTTTTTGGCAGCTGCAGCACATTGCTGACTCATTTTTAAGTGATGGTCCACTAGGACTCCAAGATCCCTCTCTCAGTTACTACTATACAACCATGTACCACTTATTCCATACCTGTGCATTTGGGGTGTTTTGCCTAAATGTAGAAACTTATTTTCCTCACCATTAAATTTTATTTTGTTAGATAGGGCCCAGTTTTCAAGTCTGTCAAGAACCTTCTGTATCTTAAGACTATCTTCTAGAGTGTTGGCTATTCCTGCCAGCTTGGTATCATCTGCAAATTTGATAAGTTCCTCTTCTATCCCCTTATCTAAATCATTTATAAAGATATTGAAGAGTAGTGGCCTAAGACAGAGCCTTGAGATACCGAACAGCATAGTTCCCTCCATGTAGATGCAGTTCCATTAAAGATTACATGTTGACTGTTTTTGGTCAGCCAGTTATGAATCCATCTGGTGGTGATAATAAACAAAATAAAACATCCTGTTTTATTCACTCTTCAATATTGGATCTTGCCTTTGCAAGGGACTATACATCCCTTACAATCTACAATAGGCTCATTTTAGTTCATCTGAACCTGTGAAGACTTCACACTTCATAAAGAATGGGCTGGATGCACAGACATACCATCATGAGGCTTTCAGATGAGAAATAACATTTGAATCAACTGAAATTCAACAACAATAGCTCTCTACACAATCAGAACCTGAATAAACCAGAATACAGAAATACACTGGGTCCATCACTGCATTTGTAACTCTTCTGTGGCTGAGGAATTCTGGGAATTGAAGTCCACCTATCTTAAATTTGATGAGGTTGAGAAACACTGGTCTAGACCAAACCAATCCAACTGTTTTAATGGTGGTCTGGGGGACTGGACACAAATGGTTTTCCAAAATTGTCTCCAAAATGTTGGGCAAAAAAAAAAATGGGTGCAGAAGTCAAATGTATTTCTCCAGGTGATAATTTTTTGAACATTTTTTAAAATATAGAATTGTCCCTTAACAAGGACAGGAGTATTATATCTGAAAACAGCTCACCATGGAGTAAACAAAGGCATGAGACACACACACACACACACATAGACACACACAGACACACAAACACACACACACAGAGAGAGAGAGATACTTTGAGCAATGTATAACAAAATAAGCACTAGAGAAACCTGATCTATGAGAATTTCACTGTAATGATATTCCTTTTGAAAAAAATTCTAAAAACCATGCTCTCTTCATGAAATTAAATGAGAACTGGTAGAAGAATATAGAGGCATATTCTTTTGGCACTAAAAACCTTTTAGCTACTATTAACTCTCCAGCAGAGCAAAGTCCACTGACTTGATGGCAGAAGCTTGTAAAAAGACCTCTTGGAGTACTTTTGAAGTGACATGAGATCAAATTATTTTACCTAAATGGGTGTAAATGAATAAATATACAGCTCTCTTTCTTGAATTATTAGATTTGCATTATTGGAACAACAAATATTGCAAGAACTTGAGCATATTGGCAGCAGGTGTACTTCAGTAAGTCTCTTCTCTCCCTAGGTTTCTCTGAGTCCCTGGAACCAGGTGCCCCTCACAAGGCTTCAGGGACTTCCAAGACCGTAACTCTCACCATTGGTTCTTCTGCAGAAGAGCTCCATGTCTCAGAAAGGTCCTGGACAATACAACCACTCTCCATGCTAATGGTTGGATTCTTCCACACTAAAATGGGATTGGACCGTTTCTAGTTCAGCACGTTGCCTGGACCACTAATAGTTACCAAGACTTCTTATTTGTTGGTTGGTCTTACATGCCACGTGGATCCTGCAATTGTACAGTATTTCCTTAGCCCGAAGCTTATCTAAAACAAGAGCAAAGACATGACAAATGTATTCCAAATACAAGGATCCACACCAGCATATCCCAAACCTGGCAACTTTAAGATGTGTGGACTTCAGCTCCCAGAATTCCCCAGACAGATGTTAGCTGGGGGATTCTGGGACAGACTAGACTAGACTAGACTAGACTAGACTAGAATAGAATAGAATAGAATAGAATAGAATAGAATAGAATAGAATAGAATAGAATAGAAGCTGGAAGGGACCTTGCAGGTCTTCTAGTCCAGCCCTCTGCTCGAGCAGGAGAACCTATACCATTTCAGACAAGTGACCGCTTAGACGTTGTGTGAACTCACTCGCGCTTGACATTCGAGCAGCGCCTCGTCTAATTCGAAATAAAGCCATTTCCCAAACTGGGCTTCTCAATCTCTTGCACGGCTTTCTGTCCGAAGAGACTCGCTCGCATTTCACACACCGTCCTCCAGGTCTTGCAAAGAAGCCGGGCGTATTAAAGCCCCTCCCGCTCCCTCGGAGTTGGGCTCGCGTTTTCTCACGTGATCAGCCCAGCTTCTCCATTGGAGCGCCGCTCTCCAAGTTGAGAGCCGGAGGGGGCGGCGGTGGGAAGCGGGCGCTCTGGGAAGCGCTCTGGAAGCCCACGGAAAAGGCAAAATGTTTTGGGGGGAGGGAGGCGAGCCGGGGAAAAGGGCAGCCGCTTGAGCGCAGCAGCCCAGATGTCCTGGGCCGCAAGAAGGGAAGCAGGTAAGTTGGATGTCCCGTTGCGCTTCTCAGCTTTGGATGGGAAAGTGCGCCCTTTAGCAGTTGGAGTAAAAATGAGTCACCCGTCTCTTTTTTTCCTCTTTATCCTTCCTTCCTCCTCCCTCTCTTCTTTTCTTCTTCTTCTACTCTACGGCGATTCAGGTATTTCCTTTTTCATGTCTCGGTTTCTCTATATTCATATTAAACTGATAGTGGCAAGCTTATTCAGTAGTAAATCGTAGGATGCTCACTGATGTTCACTTCTGGGGAGAGAAAAAATGCACCATCAGTTGCAATCACATATAACTGTGGCATTCTAAGGTCTGCAGCGTGACTTTTTTGAGAGTCCTTAAACATCAATTTAAAGCAACTTCTGGGACGTATTTTTTAACTGGAATTGATGCATCTCCGTTTCTCAGACCGAAATCCCCTTTGCACGCTTGCAAAGCGTTAAAGTCAAGGGATTGTGCTTCCAAGGAAACGTGCCTTGGACTTTGCTGTCTCAGGATCAATCTGGGCTTATGCAGCCAGAGGTATTAGATGATTTTTCTATTGCCTGACATAAAACTGTAGTACTCTGTGCAGACTAGTTATTAGTCCTTAGTTTTACAAAAAATATATACATGTTTGTTATTTTCTTTTACTGATGATTATAATTAATGAGTATGATTAAAAGATGCATGAATGGAAATAGACATTATTGACATTATCTTCATTAAGCATCTAATGGTTTCTAATTGGGAAAAAAAATCACCTAATACAGGCAAGACACTTGAAAGCTTGGAAAAAGAATGGTTTGCAATTACAACATGCACAAAAGGAGATGGAGAATTGAACTACTAATTAAAAATAAATGAGCCAATTTTATCGGCACTTTAATGTAAATGCAAACTCTTCCTAGAGCAATAAAGATTATTGACATGTTCCTGCTCACATTACCAATAAGTGAATCCCTTTATGTTTCATAGGGCTTACTCTCCATAAGTGAGCACAGGACTGCAGTCTAGTTAAGTTCCATGGAAAGAAAACTGTCCTTATTACAGAAGAAATGTTAATATGCTCCAAATTAGGTCAATGGCCAATGCCACTGTTCAACTATGTTCCAGGAATTTTAAAGGAAATAATAGATATATTGGGAATTGAGTAATTATTGAATGCCATATCATGTAATTTTCTTCAGTAGTACTGTATATCAAGGGTAACATGATCCATTTTGTAGATCTCCTGCCTTAAAATAATTAGCCTGATTTTTCTGTATTTCTCTCCTCCCTCCCCTCATCATTATGCCTGATAATGAGTTCTTAAGAATTCAAAAATAATCACATACCATTTGGATTGAACTCAACTATGATTTTTGGATTCTAGACCCCTCCACTTCCTGCCCCAATCAAGAATATGATAGCTTTTTATAATTTTAGAAAGTATCTATTATTCATAATAATAATCAAGGTAATAATTGTCCATTTTGGTTAGGCAAGGAATAACCAATTGAAGGTATTTTAAATGTTTGCAGAAAGACCGGTGATGATTGAATGGCTGGTCATTTGCCAGAGAAATCTGACCAAAAACCTGATTGAAAATATAAAAGAGAACCATTCAGATGAAAGGAAGTACTTCCAGAGATATAAAAAGTACTTCCAGATGTATTAAAAACAAGCATTTAGTGATCTCAGCATCTGTCAACAAAAGCTCCAATGAAAACATATCAAAGCTAGGTGATTACAATTGATGATGAAGGGAATAGTGATTCATTGGCCTTTTTTTCTCCATCTTATGCATTCCATTCATATTTTATGTGTTAGATTTAAGACATTCTTGGAGTCGGGAAAGAAAAGGGAGTTTTTCAAACCATGGCAGATGTGAACCAGATGGGTATTTCAACCATATCTCTTAAGTGAGACATCACTCCATTCATTTAGGAAGACTCCGGGAAAGAGGATCATGACACTCACACAGATTCTGCCTTAATGTATTCACTAATAAATGAAGGTTGAATTACACTTGTCTATATTCCCAGAGTGTGTAATGTCAGCCTTTTTTCTGGACATGAATAGTGAGACTATCTGTTAATCTAACCTCCTTGGTCATAAGTTCCTACTAGAATATCAAGATGACATATACAGTATGCTTCCTATTTTTCATCACAACTGTTGTTTGGGGTAGATTGGCTGAGAATTAATCACCGGTCCAGAGTCACCTATAGAACTTACAGAGTTGAATGTCTATGGAAATTCTCAATCATCCAGGTCATGGTTGTCCCAAAGATACGTTTTCCAAAAGGCAACTGGACTTTCTTGTTTTGTTTTGTTTGTCTTTGAAAGCATTTTGCTTCTCATCTAACAAGCTGAAAAAAAACTGAAGAAACTTCTTGGATAAGAAGTGGTTTTTTTAAAAAAAGAAAGTCTAACTGCCTTTTGGAAAAAGCACCTTTGGTATTCCAGAGTTGAAGGTGAACTTGAACTCAAGACTCCCCTGAGTTGAATGTCTACATAAAGTCCAACTATGTAGGCTTCCTGTATGATTTAGAACAGCCTTGCCTGGAACCCTCCAGATGGTTTCACCCAGTGCAGAATGTGTTTATAGATGACCTTTTCAACAGCAATGGAAATTGGGAAATGATGAGGAAAAGTGCTGAGAATGAGAAAAATCTGGGGTTTACAACCACAGATGACCTTTTCAGCATCACTGAAAATAAAAAAGAGGTACAAAAAACCTGATAAATCTGTAGTTTAAACTGCAGATTTTTTTTTCAGTGTTGTTGGAAAAGATTCTCATAAATACTTTTATATCTGGTTGCTCACAGTTCGATGACTGGTTTCAAACATCTATATCCTATGCCAAGCACACCAACATTCTGCATTCACAAAATTAGGCTGAAAAATCTGAATATTTTTGTTAGAAATTTAGTACACCTTTCCATTTGTGTATACACACACACACAGAGAGAGAGAGAGAGAGAGAGAGAGAGAGAGAGAGAGAGAGAGAGAGAGAGATTTAATATTATCACAAGCTGCTTGTATGAGGGAAACAAAGACATGGAGGTTGTAAAGATCCAGAGTTTAGTGTATTTGGTACCTCCCAGATATGTTGGTCTTCAACACCAAATTGGGAAAGATTGATGACAATGCCCTTGATTTTTTTATTTATTTGAATTTTTAATTTTCATAACCATTCTAAAGCCTCTGGGAGGAGGCTTCGTAGTATCCGAAGCAGAACATCCAGATTCCATCACACTTTTGTTCCATATAGTATTAACCTTGTGAACTCTCAAGCTTCATCTTTCCGCTATATATTCAAGATGGACAGTGATTGATATTTGTATGTGTTTGTACGTAAGGGTGTAGGTATATACATATGTTGTATATAGCATGTTTATACGTGTGTTATGTATGTGTACACTTTTGGGAGTAGGCAACAGAATTTCATTTTTAATGTGTGCCTGTGCGCCCACAGTAAAAAATGACAATAAAGATTATCTTATCTAAAAACAAAACAAAACTTGAAGCTTTCATAGTTTGGCATTAGTGCCAGATTCCATAATTATGTAGTGTAACGATGAATGAAAATAATGTGTGTAGTCCTGATCCTTAGAATATTCAGAGAAAAAAAATATTTAATTTTGTTCCTTTAACTCCGGAATCAGTTTTCATCATTAACTTAACACTTTTCTCCAGGAGACCAAAAGCTGCTGCTGGAGCTAAAGGATGAAGTCACCTCCTTGCTGCTTGTCCCTTTCTTCTGGGGCCTCTGGAGAGGAATTAGGTGAGAGCACATCCTTTGATTCTTTGGAATCCAGTGTCTTCTGTAGTGACGAAGGGCCTGGATCTTTGCTACAGCATGTAGCTCCATCCTTGGACTGCATGATCGTCAACGTTGGAGGTGCCCGCTTTGTGCTTTCCCAGAAGAAGCTTTGTTGCTATCCAGATACTCGGCTGGGCAAACTAGCAGTAATGGTTTCAGCTGCCCAGGATGTTGCCTCCAGCCTCTTGGACCTCTGTGATGATGCCAACTTGATGGAGAATGAATATTTTTTTGATCGGAACTCTCAAGCATTCAGTTATGTCCATAATTATTACCAAACTGGCAGACTACATGTAATGGATCAGCTGTGTGCGCTTTCCTTTCTGCAGGAGATCCAATACTGGGGGCTGGATGAGCTCATGATTGATTCCTGCTGCAGGGACAGGTGAGCAATTTGGGGGCAGAAATCCATCAAAGTGGTTTAGTTAATTTGGTTATAGGAAGAAGTAAAGGCAAAGTTAACAAAGTTAATTCCTCTCTTGATCATCATGTTGTCTGTCTTTAAAAACAGATTAAGAACTATACAAATAAAGATTTTAAAAAACCCTGTTGATATTTCAGACTATGAGATTAATCAAGGGTGGGTTATCTTCACCCTTATTTCAGAAGTCCTTTGTGAGCAAGCAACGGAAATATTTGGTAAGAACAATCTATCCCTTTACCTCAATTTACTACTGGTATATAATATGGCTCCATCAGTTTTCTCCTAGAACTGGATCTTGATGGAAAAAATTATGTTCATCACAAGTTAAATTGTGCTGATATTGAACTTGGATTTGTTAGACTAGATCCATCTTTGAGTTACCACCTTCCAAAAATATTAAAAGTTAATTCTTATTCCACCTGTGAATTTCATTCTCCACCTGTTTCAATCGTTTACTTGAATTAACTACTATTTGTTTAAGCAGAAACTTCACATGGCTCACTGTAATAATATATGAGTAAAATAAAAGCAAATCTATAAATACAGTAAACAGCTATGGGGAAAATACCAACTTGAAACCAAATCAGTGTTGATATTTCCCAAAAAAGCAACACATAAAGAAACTCAAGTAAAGTCACAAAAATATTAAAATTCAGGGAATGTCCTCTGAAAGGCAAAAGCTCCCACTGATGAGCTGTGTGTAGGTGTTCTAAAGCAAATTTGGATGTTTGGCAGGGATATTGTCTTGATGAATGATCATCCTTTATTCCAACTCAAGTCACACAATGGTATGGTGTTAGTTTATGGCAACTCAATTTTTATTTCTCATCGAATTTATTCCACATTAATCCTTATCAGAACTTGAGCAGCTTGCAGTAGTAAAATTAGATCTGAAATTGCATATATAATATGGGTGAAAAGGATTCCCCCACATTTTCTTCCTCAATTTTGTGTTGCTTCTTCCTCACATCATTTTCAGTGATATTGTGGAGCAACCCATGTGATTAATCATAAGGTGTCTGTATATATTTTGATAAGTGAGATTATGTTGAATTACTTAAAGAATTAAATTGAATTCTTCCCTTATCAAGACTTGATTACATTTTTTGATGACTCTCAAATGCGGCCTGTCTCCATAGGGATAGCTTGGATAACTATTCACTTTTGCACTTCAGCTTCAGAATATATAATCTTAACATCCCACTTGCTATTCAAGTTGGGTGTGCTGTTGCTTGGGACTTTTCTTCCTATTCTTTCTCCAAAACTCATATTAGAAGTTACTGGTTCTCTCTCTTCAAGACCTCTGAACATTCTGTGCCTTTTTTTGAGTTTGGCTTGGCTTATAATGAGAAAGGATCCTTTGAGAAAATTAATCCAGTGTTCATTTCCAAAAGTAATCTTTGCCCAATTGTCTCCCACCAGTAACCAGACTCTAGTAATATTGTCTACCAGGGAAGTTCAGAAATAGCTATCTCAAAAGGTTTTGTACTGATTTTATATATTGACTTCCAGTATGTAATATTAATAGCTGACTGCTCTATGCAGGTACTTCAGAAGGAAAGAACTGAGTGAAACTTTGGATATCAAGAAAGATGCTGAAGAATTGGATGCCCAAGTTGAGGAAGAGGATTTCTCTGGAACTCTGTGTTCCACCACCAGACAAAAGCTATGGGAAGTCTTAGAAAAACCAGCTTCTTCTGTAGCTGCCAGGACTTATGGCACAATCTCTATGGTTTTTGTCATCATTTCAATTGCCAACATGGCTCTGATTTCAGTGGAATTGACCTGGATGCCAGCCCAGCTACTTGACATCCTAGAGCATGTGTGTATTTCTTGGTTCACAGGAGAATTTTTGTTACGCTTTCTCTGTGCGCGGAATCGGTGGCGCTTTTTAAAGAACGTAGCAAATATCATAGACCTTCTGGCCATTTTGCCTTTCTACATCACATTGTTGGTGGAGAGCTTACGGGGTGGACACAGCTCCCAGGAGCTGGAAAACATGGGACGTATTGTGCAAGTGCTGAGGCTGCTGAGAGGTCTGCGCATGTTGAAGTTGGGCAGGCATTCAACAGGTAAATCCATGTGTTGGGAGCCTCTCATTCTTCTTGGGAGACTTCAGGGAAGAGTGGGGGTGGGAACAAGGGAACGGATTAAGAATCTGAATTAAAAAATAGGTAAGATTCCCCAAAGCTGCTTGTTCTTGCAGTATTCCAATTCACCAATCTCAATGGTGCTTTTCCAAAAGGCAATTGGACTTTCTTGTTTTTTTTCCCCCTTAAAACATTTTGCTTCTCATCTAAGATGCTTCTTCCATTCTTAAGCATCTTTGGGACAACCATGACTTGGAGGACTGAGAATCTCCATAGACAATTCACTACTTTGTTTTGACTTCTCATTGGGATAGGCAATGCAAGCATTATTTTAATTCCCCTCCCCCAAAAAACACACTGTTATCAGAAGTGCCCTGAGGCTACACTTTTTAAACTAATTGGGAGGGACGGGACTATTTTTAGTGGAAATAGGTTCCACAATCAAGCCTTCAGATTATGGTGGGTTCAAATTTCAGCTGACACACCTATTTCTCTGAATTTATTCCCAAGAGAAGAAATAAGTAAGGGGTCCTTGGTATTCTCTCTTTTCTTGCAGATGTTTCAGTACCCAAGCTAGGTAACATCAGCAACAATAGCACTAGCACTGATGGTGTTACTTAGTTTTGATAATACAACATCTGCAAGAAAACAACCAAGCTACAAGAGCACCAAGCACCCCTCATTTCTACCCTGAGCTACAAATATTCCCCTTTATTGGTACAAGGATGTTGTCAGTAAAGATGGAGAATCACAAGCATTCTCCTGCTCAACCCCAAAAGGGTTTGAACAGTGAGAGCATTTGGAAGGCTTTCCAGCAACAAGCTTTTTGCAGTCATTTAATTTGGGAAACATTTGTCAAAGCCTCAATAGTTTGCCATCATTCCAATCAGCTCCAATTTTTCCCCTTCCTCAGAATGTAATAGCTTATCTTAAGGAAGATAAGTAGCACCAGAAGCTGCATCTCTTCCATCCAAAGTCTTGGATTACCAATAGTGAAAGGGAATTAACATGCATAATATAATGACATAGAGCCTTCAGAATGAAAAGCAGAAGTCTTTCTAATTGGCCACCTGTTACTTCTAACTGGCTTTTCTATATGCAAAACCTGTTCCTGCCTTTGCTCTCTGATCCCTTTCCAAATACTTTTCACAATAGTGTCATTTTGCTTGTTTCTCTGCTTCTAAGACAGACATGTCAAACTTGCGATGTCATGTGATGTCGCACAACATATTGGAGCTTTTTCTCCATTGCCGGCAATGGGGTGGGTGTGATTTCCTGGTGACGCATCCGGCCCATGGGCCGGGAGTTTGACACCCTTGTTCTAAGAGAATGAATGGTAATGAGTCTGAGGTAAACCTTTTGCCAAAAACAAACAAAACAAAAAAAACCCAGCACCTTTACTGCAGTATTAATTAGTCAACCTGCCTGCAACAATTTGCCAAATTAAGTAAGCAAATTAAAAAAAAATTAGAAATCACTTGGAATTAAAAATTCCAAAACAAGTACAGAGATTTGCGCTAAGGAAATGGGGTTTTAAAGGGTTAGAATCAGAAAATCATGACATCATTGGCAAATACAATTAAAGTATATCCAAAAAGTAGATACTATTAATCAGGAGGTGGGAATAGAAGGTGGGCATTGTTGTTCCTAAGGAAATATAAACCAATCAGTTGGTATCTTATCTAGCACAGTTGACTCTCACAACAAAAACAAATTTAATTTAAAAACAGACAATTTAATTTAACACCATCATTTAACTTACAATATATATTCTCTTCAGCCCATTTTCCTCTGTTAACTAGAATATGAAATCCAAAAGCCTTATCATATGTCATTTATCAGAAAAAATCCACAAAGGGTTATAATCTTAATTGAATAAGTCAACCCTGTATTTCTTCCATGTGCTTTTAATGATCCTGATCTTTAGCCTCTTCAAGTACAGATTTTGAATTCTTGTAATCTGTTTTTGTTCTTTCTCAAGAAATCTTTCAGAACTTTAACAGACTCTTTTGTATATCCAGCAAGAAAAGTTCTCTCTCTTTTCTTTCTTTCTTTTTTTTTTTTTTTTTTTGGTCACTTCTCAAAAAATCTTTCAAGACTTTAACAGGTCTCTTTTATATAGCCAGTAAAAAGAAAGTTATCCACATCTCTTTTGTGATTTAGTAATTGCATATCTTGTTTAGGCAATGAAACATTTGCTTCCTTACCATTCCACCTATCTATACTGGTAGAAAATGTCACAAGACTCAGTGATAGGATATTTTACTCTATCTTTTTTCAATTGTAATATTTTATTATCCTCTAGCTCCCTCTTGTGTCCACTATTGAAATCCCATTATATCTTGTTTTTACTTCAGAAAACCCAAACAATTGTAACTTCCCATGAGAAGGATTCAGTTAATTTAAGATTATAGTCCAAGTCCATATAGATCCTTAATCCATTATTAACTTTTCAAATCAATATTCTAAACATCATTTTGCTGTTTGATAAAAAACATTCTATTTATCTCCAATCTTTGAAATCATATTAAAGATTCTATCTCTAAGGAGAAGGCGACTCACCCAGTAACTGCCATAATGCTTATTGTTCCAAAGGGTCTTAGTATTTCCAAAACAATTTTTTTAAAAAAAGAAATTCAGAGTGATTAAAAGTTGAGACTCGATCAACAATTATGTCCTTTAAAAAGGCTATGTTCACAACTGTGAGCAAAGATGGTTCCTACCTCAACTTCCAGCTGTTGAACTCATAAGTTGACTGCAAAATATTGATTCCTGTGGTATAGTCACAAGGAGTCACATGGGCTATCTTCAAAACCTCTGCTTGATCCAGAAGGAATTTCAGCAGCCAGGAGCCTGCATCCTACACCAGTTCCACTGCATAATACTACCCTGCTGCCATGGTTCTCAACAGGAAGTCCCCCTCCTCTCCCAAAGGATAGTTATTCTCTCTTGGTTATCAAATAACCATGAATGGATGAAAATTTATTCTATGAGAACACAGCTATCAATAGATGGGGAGGTTAGGAAGATTCTTATTTCTTCTCCTTTCCAGCATATGAGCAGACTCATGCTGGGAAGATTTAAATAGCAAAAAGAAAAATGGGAAGATTATTGGTGAAACAGGAGCTCTTATCAACTTCTGGATAAATTCCAAACCAATAAGCAACTGTAAATATGAGCTAGCAGTATGATGCCATTATCAAAGGGCATATGAAAATGCAGATTATGCAAAAGTACTTGTATAGGAAGAAATTGTTTCCCCTTGAGCACTCTTTAACGCCTACGTATAATAAAAGTTGAATCTGTTTTTCTGCTTCAACTGCTAAAGCAGAATGTGGGAACTGATTTTAGTAATGTCAAGGAAACAGTGCTTTGGCCTTATGCGTTTGATAACCTGAGACATCTTGGGTGTTGTGGGCTTACTTTATTATTAAACATTGAGTGAGAACAATAAGGTGGACAACAGTAATAGAATTGTTTTGTGTTAGGAATTTGAGGGTGACGTGTATTTTTACTGTTTGAATTAAAAGAATGGTAGATTTCTTTGTCATTAACCATTGACTTTTGCCATTTTTTCTTATTTCAGTCGCATAGTTTTTAAAAAAGTGTGATGCATATTTAAGATTAGAAGTGAATGCATATGATTTAAAAGTTGTAAAAAAAAAACCTTACCATTAGTTTTTTATGTGCTTTTCCTGAGAAGATGTTAAATCTTTCACCTAAGAGCCAGAGACAAAGCACTTTTTTGATATTATCAGGCTCATGAATCTTTATGGTTCACTTAATAAGCCACCAATGACTGTAAAATAATAATTTCAATGAAGCCTTTTTATGGAGCTTCAACTCTAGACCTAGCATAGTTATGGAGTCACATATTCTGAAGGTTCTAGATACATCAAGTGCTTCCTTATGAAATCTGATCTGTGGACTTCCACTCCAGAATTTGCTTTGAATTCTGAGAGTTGAAATCCCCAATACTAGAGGGCATCCAAGTTGGAGAAGCTTAGGACTGACATTGACTTCAAGACAGCCTTCTTTTAATAGGGTAATAAGATGGATACTTTACATCAGGCATGTCATACTGCCGGCCCGCGGGCTGGATGCATCACGCCGAAACAGCGCCCACCCCATTGCCGGCAATAAGGAAAAAGTCCCAATAGGTTGTGCAATGTCATGTGACGTCGCAAGTTTGACATGCCTGCTTTACATGATACTTCTCCAAGTTGACATCCGTAGATGTGTCAAGTTTACAATTCAGAGAATTCCTAGCCAAGTTGGAGAAGGATAATGTAAAAACCCAATATATCTAGAAGGATCCAAATCACAGTGGCAATCTTCCATTTACTGCTTAATAGAAAAGATAATTTGATTGAATGAATGCCACTTTTTCCCACTCTGGTTCATTGATCAAGAAGAAAAGCAGTAAGAGGGTATCTTGCTAATTGAAATATTGTTTTATGTTTTAGGTTTGCGTTCCCTTGGGATGACCATTACACAGTGCTACGAAGAGGTTGGCATGCTTCTTCTTTTCCTTTCTGTGGGCATCTCCATCTTCTCCACCATAGAATACTTCGTTGAGCAAGGTATCCATGACACAACCTTCACAAGTGTGCCTTGTGCTTGGTGGTGGGCTACCACTTCCATGACAACAGTTGGCTATGGAGACATTAGGCCAGATACAATCATTGGCAAGGTGGTGGCCTTTATGTGCATATTATCTGGAATATTGGTCCTAGCTTTACCGATTGCCATCATCAATGATCGCTTTTCTGCCTGCTATTTTACCCTGAAGATAAAAGAAGCTGCCTTTCGCCAACGGGAAGCCCTAAAGAAGCTCACAAAGAATATGTCGAGTGACTCTAACATCAACATTAATTTGCGAGACGTGTATGCTCGAAGTGTAATGGATGTGTTGAAATTTAAAAGCCGAGAAAGAACAAGTACCAGGAGCAGTGCTGGTGATGAGTTTTGGTTTTGAATACACATGGTTACATACAAACACACACAAGAGTATGAGAGATGCCTAAGGTGGCAATAGCTTTAATAACAGCCACAAATGCAAAATTAATGGTTCTTTATTTTCCCCTGTGCAAATCTGCTTATCTGCTGAGCATATGAACAACTAATATAGTCCAAAGGTGTATTAAAAAGCAAAACAAAACAAAAAAAATAATCTCAGGATACATAAATGCAAATTATGTTTAACATTTTTCATATTTCATTAGAAAACAATGGAAAAATGTCTCCCAGTGGATTAATATTTAATTCTTTAGCTGTAACTCTTTTATGCTCATTCCATTATGAAAAGAATAAAAGATTAGCAATGTGTATATTGCTGCAGTGGTATGAAAGTAAAATAAAAGAAAGGGCCCGCTGACAAGCAGCATATTCTAGAAGTAGTAGCAAAGATACAGCAAAAAAATACTTACGGGGATATCAACATTGGCAGCTTTCTACTAAGCCTGTGTACAGCAATTCTTTCTTTGCTTCAACTAAATACCTTGAACAGCAGAGGTAAGGCTATTTGTGATGACATAATTCTCCATGGTACAATACACTTTCGGTTCCTGCACGAGTGATAACCTCTCCTGGCTACTGGAAGGGTGAAAGGTCCCAGAAGCAAATAAAGCAAAACAAAAAAGTAATTTTGCTTCTATCTATAGCAGCAAGAGAACTGAGTTCTTTCGTGAAGCAATTTTGAATAAATATATACCATTTGCAGCATTATGAACACTTTATCCATCTTAATTTAGAAAATTTAATTTAGAAAATCTTAATCTGTATAGTGCAGGAAAAAAGCTAAGGACAGTAACAGGCCTTCGGAGGGGAGGATTGTTACCTATTTCAATATATACTAATATTTATTTTCTCTGGTATGCTTCAAATGAGTTGGCTAAGAACCCCCCATGTACATTCTCATTCATAATCATTAGAGGTTGTTCTTTCATAATGCAGTTTTGAATTCCTGATCTCACTATGAGATTTATTGCTTAATTCTAGTAGTAACTGCTAAGAACCTAAATTCATAATGTGCTTCATATGCTTCATTCCCCTGTGCTTCACAAATAAATATAAGTTTTAACATGCCAGATGAGGTGTATGGAGGTACATGCTTGCCTGTTTAATGTAGATAGGAACAGAAATGACAATTCTGAAAGGAGCGTGTGGCTTTTCAAATAATGTGTGAAGGGAAAGGCACCATTCATTCATGAAAAGCACTAAGTTTTTTCTGAGAGCAAAGATGCAACTTTCCCCCCAAATCTTAAGCAGCTTCTTATGTGGCTTTCGATTGCATCTCAAAGAAGGTTTTTGCTGGATCCCAGTTTTATTTCCCAGTGTGTGCCCAGTGAATGAGTCCACCAAGCCAAAACCAAGATAATCACATTGTTAAGGTGACCAACCGTCCTCCTTTAGGGAGGACAGTCCTCCTTTTGTAAGTTCTGTCCTCCCTCAAAAAGTGTCCTCCTTCATGTCCTCCTTTTCCATATTTGAAGACTAATCTGCAGGGCTTTTTTTTTCCCCTCACAAAACGCTCAGAACGGCATTCCGGCACCTTTTTTTTGATGGTTTTTTTTTCAACTTTTGCATGAGCAGTGCTACTCCCACTATTGGCTTTCGAAAGCCAATAGGAATTGCTGCTGAGCGCGCAAAACACCCGGCTGGCAAACTTTGCACATGCAAGTTGTCTGTATTATTGTTGCAATGAATAAAATTTTTCTTTTATTTACGATATTTTTTTCTTCAATTTATTTGTGTCCTCCTTTTCATTGTAAAAAAGTTGGTCACCTTAACATTGTGGCTTAGTGTAACAGAACAGTTCAATCAATATTTCCCTTCTAATGCTCCTAAGAACCATAAATTCAGACACAGGCCCAAAAAGAAAAAAGGTGACACATTATCTTTCCGTTCTGTAGTAAGTCAAGCCACTAGATACCCTTACAATATTCAATCACCTTTTCTCCTGTACATTCCAAATATGTTCTTGATCCCAAACAGTCTGCAGAAGCTGCTTCTTATAGTGATGTGGGAATTTTATTCTGGTTGTCCTCAACTTACAACCACAATTGAGCCCGAAATTTCTGTTGCTGAGCGAGGCAGATAAGTGAATTTTGCCCTATTGTACAAACTTTCTTGCCAAAGTTGTTAAATGAATCACGGCAGTGGTTAAGTGAATCTGGCTTCTCCGTAGATTTTGCTTGTCAGGAGGTCGCAAAATGTGATCACATGACCCCAGGACACTGCAACCATCATGAGTAGTTACCTAGTGTCTGAATGTGATCGCATGACCCCAGGACACTGCAACCAATATGAGTAGTTACCTAGTGTCTGAATTTTGATCACGTGACCCTGGGGATGCTGCAATGGGTTTCAGTACCATTGTAACTTTGAACAGTCACTAAATGAGCTGTTGTAATGACCACCACACAGTGGTGATTACAGTGGACTCTTGGTGTGTGAACAAGAGGATGTTGTTTTTTCTGCATGGTTTCTGTCTCATCAAGACTCTTCCTGCCGAGTGTCCTGCTGTATGACTGATGACTGCTTTCAGCACCACATCACCATTTCTATGTTACATGAACGCCGGCTGGCACCAAGTCAATGGTATCATCTGTTGGCATTTGCATTCCAAACGCTCTGGCACAGACTGTTGCTTGGTTTCAACTCTGCATATCAGGATGGTGTCAGCACAGTTGCCTCCCTAAATTCACACTGCCTTCTGGAGCTCCTGATGGTGAGGACACAAATAGGATTGCACCATACACCTGAGGTAAAAGTAGAAAAGAATAATGAGCAAAATCTTTCCATTTAAGCAGAAATGTACAGCTATCTGGGATATCTTTAATTCAGACAGCTAGGAGTTGAAACAAAACACTGCAGTATCACTTCACCCTTTAACACAGCAGTGAGCAATTGTGGGCCTGGAGTCTTTATGTCCGTTCAGTTCCTTTTTAGGAGTCTGTTAAGGACAGTCTGATCATGATTATGAAAAGCTGACAGACAGCAGGTTTTCCTGCCATTTTTGTGTCACAAAATGACGAGATTAATAATTCTCTGATTAGTAATCAGCAAGTAATTGAATAAATTGCAGAATTTGTAATTGTAGGAAGGAAAGAATTCATCCACGTCATGACTGACATGGAATACACTAGGGCAAATTTTAAATACATAGATCAGGGGTGTCAAACTGCTGGTCCACAGGCTGGATGCATCACGCCAAAACCGCACCCACCCCATTGCCAGCAATGGGAAAAAATTTGTGATACGTCGTGACACATCACATGACATCGTGAGTTTGACACCTGTGACATAGATGCAAGGAATCATTCCCTTTTCCTGATAGATTGTGACTGGCTCAGTCATTATCACAAGTGTAATTTTCTTGATTTTGGCTCAGCATCCTCTATACATTTATTTACTTATTCAATTTCCATAGCTGCCCATCTCAAAAAAATGACTCTGGATGAAGAACAATCATAAAACAATTAAAAACAGTTACAATATAGTACAGAATGGTTCCTTAGGTAACCCATTCCCAAGCCATGAAGGCCTTAAAGGGGACAAGCAGCGCCTTGAATTGAACTCATACACATACAGGCAACCAATGCTGCTCATGCAGTGTGGCCTCATTTTGCATTAGTTGAAGCTTCCAAATGCTTTTCAAGAACAGCCCCGTGCAGAGCACATTGCAGTAATCCAGACAAGAAGTCATGAGGGCATGAATGACTGTGAGCAGGGCCTTCTGGTCCAGGAACTGGCATATAATCCAAAGATGTGCAAAGATTTTGTAGCAGGACTCATGAGTTTAGGAGAACCCCCATATTGTGCACCATGCCCATCTGGGGCAATGCCACCCCACCAAGGATCAAAGGTGGAAGAGCCTTGTCACTTGAGGGTCCAAATATCCAAGGTAATCAGTCTTGCTTTGGTTGAGTCTAAGTTCATTGTGTCCCATCTAGGCTCCAAGCACTGGGATGAAACATCTATGGCATCACTCAAGGAGCCCTTGACAGAATTCTGACTCCTGATTTCTCCTCATTCATGGTTGTTCCACATTTTAATCAACCTTCATCAGCATCCTTCAGTCATATTGGGATTACAAGTCCCAGAATTCCCAGCCAGTCAGCTTTTTGGGAAAGAATGCAGGTTTCATCTAATTGTATTTTTGTTTGGTTCGGTGCTCTTTGATATTTATTTATTTATTTATTTATTTATGAGACTTATATACCGCTTTAAGTGCAAGCACTCTCTAAGCGGTGTACACCAGTAAGCAATGTATATATATATTTACATTGCCCCCAACAATCTGGGTCCTCATTTTACCTACCCCGGAAGGATGGAAGGCTGAGTCAACCTTGAGCCGGTGAGATTTGAACTGCTGACCTGCTGAACACAGTCAGCTAAAGTGGCCTGCAGTACTGCACTCTAACTGCTGTGCCAGGAAAAAGAGGCCCTGACAAAGAAATGCAAGGAAATGAAATGTAATTTCATAAGTGACAGAGTTTTTTTTATTACAAAAGTCCTCTTGACTTTAATTAGATTGTCCTTTTTTAGGCACGGTCTGTCTTTTTAAAAATATCAGTATATCTAGCATTCTTTTTTTTTACTCATTTTTAAGAACATCACGTTCAGTTGCACGATACATAACATCAGCAGGATCAAAGCAACTGTCACAGAATAAGCCATCTGTAAGGAACGTCCTTGAGTGAATCAGGCAAACAATACACCAGGCACGCTCCAGGATCCAACAAAGTTTATTGCACGTTGCAGGAAACAAAGTTTACCCTGGGGGAGGCTCCAACCCCGCGCACTATATGCCGTCCCGGGCTACACCCATAGCACACACCCTCATCAAGCCTTATAAGGAAACCCCGCCTATAAGCCACCCATCCACCCCACCCTGTGTTAACCTCCACCGTAGCAAGCCCCATGAAACAAGTCCTCAGTCAGTCAGTCCCACAGCAGCAAGCCCCGTGAAACAAGTCCGGTTCCCACGCCCTAACTGATATTAGATCCTGTCAGACCCAGCGTCAATGCATAGCTCCTGCCCGCAACCCCCATTCCGTTTTGGCTTTCACGTGATGTCGTCACATGCACATTCAGCTGGCTGCACGCGGATCACGCCGGCGGTGTGGGTGCCGTTCCGCCGGAACCGCTAGGACGCGTTCGCCGTCGGCGCAGGCTGGAGGCTGCAGCCGGCCAGGTTGGCAGCGGCCAGGGTGGTAGTGTGCTGGGTCTGACATTCGGCTTCCCCTCACCACAACTCCCCCTGAAACAAAGGTAATAGATGAGTCACCGCGTGTACCTTTTGGCCAGATACACCAATCAACCGTCCCCTTGCCCCCGCCGCGCTCCGTGTTGTACCCTTTTGTGATACCTTTTAACTAGCTCGGGGGCGGATACATCCCCACTCAATACCCAGGAGGCTTCAGACAAAGGATACCCCTTCCACACGACCAGGTAGTATAGTCTATTACCCCGTAGTCGCGAGTCAACTATGTCCTCTATTTCGTACCGTCCTGGGGTGACAGGGCCTGGGGGTTGTCCATGGGATGTCCTCCCCACCGGCTTCAATAAACTTACGTGAAATGTCGGATGCATTTTTCCTAGAAGCTTTGGTAATTCGAGCCTCACTGTTACCGGATTGATGATTTGTGCTATGCGAAAGGGCCCGATATATTTTGGTGCCAGTTTCTTGCAGGGGACCTGCAACTTAACATATTTGGTTGATAAGTATACTTTATCCCCCACACGGAATTGGACCGGTTGTCGACGTCTCTTGTCGGCGTGGTACTTAGCCACCTGTGTCGCCTGGTCTAATGCCTGCCTTACATTACGCCACACCTGGCCTGCTCGAGCAAACCACCCCTCTGATCGGTGTAGAGGGGGGTCTGGTGACACACAATCGGGTAAGGGGACCACATCATACCCATAAACAACCTGAAATGGGGTTAGACCGGTACTGTTATGCACTGCATTATTATATGCCAGTTCAG